ATTGCCTCCACGCGTTGAATTCTAACTTTTATAGATTAAATTAAAGACCATTCGAAAAACAATTCTAATCGTGTTGCCCAAATTGATGAGCACGTGAGAAGACTAAAAACGTCATAAATTGATCGTGCAGGGAATCACGAACGACGAAGAGGACCCTGAATCAACGAAACCGTCCTTATCCCCATTTTTCTGGATAGAAGTACATACGTTTTCTAAGTACAAAAACATAGTTTACATTGAAGGGTCAAAACGGTCCCAGGTACTGGCAGCTACGTAGATAGTAGAACGCGTGTCAAAGCCGAAACAACGCGATCGATGTTCGCTTAGTTACCGTTTCACTACCACTTTTCTTTCAAGACGATAATTTTTATAGCGATTTTCGCGGAACACATGTGCTAAGCCGTGTAAACGTCGACCTTGTTGCGCGATAAATATGTTGCGTCAATCGTCTACTGGAGTAATTTAAAAGAAAAGAAGAAAAAAATATGGTACCAAGAGAGAGACAAAGAGGCAAAAAAGAAAGAAAGAAAAAGGTTGACGCGTATATAATGCGTTCAACGTAACACATGACAAGTTTATTTATTGTCTGGTGCCATTTAAAATAGTGAAATATTTCTATAATTTCGTTTTTCTAATTAGTTCACGTCTGAGGTATCTTGAAAACCGTGGTAATTATTCCTCTAAACACCCTGTACATAAACAACGGTACACGTTTTTCTTCGACTCCCATTATGTAGACCTCTTTGAACGTACCACACGTTGCCCACTGCGCATCCCGTTTTCTTATTTTTCTTTTTCACACGAATTGTACAGACATTGTACGGCTTTTCTAAGGAAATTCGTAATACCTGGCATCAACGTCGTTCGTCTGATCAACACCGTCCTATTCTACTTTTTTCCTCCAAAAATTCTCCGAATCCACGTGCTTGCTTTTCGTTTCTCAGTGCTCCGATTTCCAGATCGAACTAGTTAAATATAGTCTCCTCTGTTTAGGTACCAAAAAGCATGGAACATCGATTGTAATTTTGTCGAAAAAAAAAGAAAAAAAAAAATTGAAGAAAAAGAATCGTCTCTCGTTCTTTTCTCAGCCAATACGCTCGAAGGATTTGATTTTCAATTGAACTCTGTCCAGGCTTGATTTACTCCCGATAGACTCTTTGGCTTTGCTCCGGAAATATACCTTTCATCGAATTGGAAATTCGCCTTTACCTCACGATGATCAGTTGAATAATATATTTATCATGAATTTCGTTCATTTATCAATCGTCTTATCGATCGAATCAGGCAAACTGGTCTCTCTGGAGGAGGAGAGACCAGAAAGTCAGGGAAAGAGATCAAATTCGTGTCGTGGAGGATAATTTTCTCGGTCGAAGCAGGCTGGCCAACTCCATCGAATCAAAACGGAGCTGTGCATTCGTTTCACGGAAGGAACGGTTCTCTTTCTCTCTCTCTCTCTCTCTTTATCTTTTTTTTCCTCGACCTTTCACAGACACGATAAGAAAGAGCTTCTTTCGACGAAAGAAGGCATCAAGCCCCTCGAGGCGAATTTCACCGGAGGTTCGAGCTCGAAGACGATTCCGTGAGCGAGCTACCAACCGTGGCGAGACACTAATGCAAACGCGGCTTATTCCATAGACTTCCTTCGAAGAGGCAAGACACTGTCCGTCGTCGTGATACACGACGGGTAAAATGATTCCAGGTTCGTCTCTCTGGGAACCGGACGTCTGTTCCTCTTCTCCTCACGATATCGCGCGTGCGTCGTTGAGCGTAATCGCGAGGCGTGCGTACGTAAACGTGAAAGACGGTGACACGAGCTCTCCATTGATAAAAAGCTGAGGCGATAAGACGGGAACAGTCGCGTGTGGTTCAACTATCAGAAACTCCGACGACGACTGGAAGGATCTTCCCTACCTTTCTCGCTCGCCGACCACCACGTCGGGAAACGTGCGTGGTGAGGGCAGAGCGCGACGAGGATAGAGATAACCCGATGAAATGGTGGGGGATAAATAGGGGCAACCATCCTCCCCCCACTATGCATTCCCCGCCCCTTCGATACTCCCACGCGAATGTTCTCTTCAGGATGAAAACAACTTGTCCTCTTTCGACATATGGTGTTTCTTTCATTTATTTTTGTTTTCTTTTTACTTTAGTATCGATTAGTTAGAACTAGAAGTTAGAATCTTGGTCGAGAATGATTTGTGATACCAAATCTCATTTGATGCTTCATTAATATTGATTGCAGTAATCCCTGATTAATATTCCGCTTGGTATAAAAAACAAGTATGAGACATCTTCTGCATTTTTAACAACCGCTTTGTGTCATCGCTGGAAGAGTTAAGATGATTTCCCTTATGACACTTTTTCTGTTGATCGGTTTGAAATAACCGAGATTTGAATCTTTGCTTATTGTCATTTAGAAAACTCGTGTTCCTCCTCGAATTCCCGAGTTATCGTTTCGAAAAACAGAACCGAGCGGTATTTTCCAGCAGTCAGATGCACGTACGGACATTTCTTTTAAGCCCTCTATCCTTCTCTGTTTTCAAAGTTGAATTAGAGCTCAGCTGGTCGACGAACATGTGCAACCGCACCGTTCTTTTATTCTGTCGACTCTAAAATTATCTCTGCTCCGAAGGAGTTGGCGACGGTGAGGAGCAGATACGTGGGGTAATCCCCTCTATCGTGCTTCTCATACTCCCCTACCAGCCTTTTCTCCCCACTACAGAACGAAAAAAAGAGTTCCGTCGACCCGCGAACCGCGCTATACCCGAAACTGCACACACCCACTGTATTACACGTTGATTCGATGCACACACACACACAGGACGAGTAATCTGTGCTGCAGGATTTTACAGCTGTTTCACAGGAAATTACGAAAGTTTGCTCGCTCCGTGGAAAGACATAGGGAAGGGAGAATTGGAGCACCGTCCGCGCGGTAAAAGGACGGAAATTTGAATTGGTTTCCGAGGAATCAGCGCGATACTCGAACGTCTCGCGAAAGAAACAATCTTTTTAGTTACCTTTGCTTTAGTTACCTTTTCTTTCTTAATTCGACGATCACCGATGCGATTCGAACCGTTATTAGAATCGCAAGCCTCTCGAGGAAGTAAGCCGATAATCTCGAGCAGCCGCGAATAGGCTTGCATTTATCTCGGCCGCGGTGAAAGCCGACGAGAAAATTTCTCGTTGCAGGGAAGCTCCGTCGAGCGAGTTATTATCGGGATAAATGGAGAATACGCGCAAAGGGGCCGGGAGGAGAGACATTCTTTTCGGAGCCTGCTTCTTTGTTCGGGGCGTGAAAAGCCGCGAGAGGATTCGGGCAATCTTTTACCGACCCCGGATCTTTTCATTTTCACGTCGCAGCTGTTGTTCCGTTTTCCTTCAGCTCGCTCTCCTGCCGAGCAACCGGCGAAATTAACGGGTCTCTATCGTCCCCGACCGAGATCGATCGATTTTCGGCGAGGATTTCCGATAACGCCTGCGCGAACTGACGAACGAAAACTTTCCAGACAACACAAATATCATCTTGCAACGATGATTGCCAAGCGAAATTAATACACCAGTTTAGTCCGCTTGAAACAGGGTATACTGCTAGAACAGCTGTGATGATAAAGAGGATTTTTAGCGAGCTTTGGTTATCATGCTTTAATAGATAACTCCGGAAGTGGTATGATAGTACGAGGGTCATTTATCCTGGTGTGTAGTAAGATGTGTCGAAATATCAATTAATCTTAATTATTGATAATTCTTGAATTAATGCGAGAGTTAAAGATACGAATTTTAAAATTCAAGTTCTATTTTATATATTTTTCCTTTCTTAATTACCTAATCCTCCTGGTAATTACCCTTATAAATGAATTTGCAAACTGTCGATACTATAAGTGAAAAAGTACTCGAGATTGCATAGAACCGCGGTGTCCCGTTAACAAGATCGAACAAGAGTAATTAATAATTCGCTGAACGTATTCGCTCGGAGAAGCGATGACGACGGAAAGCAACGACGTTAATTAATTCAACATTCCGCTCGAGTACGAAGGTTCGAGCGGAAGATCGGCTCTCATTGACCCCGGGTCGATCGTTCTGTCGATCGAATTGCACAAGATCGTGAACACTTGCCGCGAATAGAATAAAACGTTAGAAAAAGTGAGAAGAAAAGAGAGCTGATAAGCTCGATGATGATTATGCTGGCTTAACGTGTACCTCGTCAGAGAACCTGCCTTCTTAAAACCCTTTCGTCGCGATTTTTTCCATGAACCCTTTCGCGAATGGAGCACCTTAACAATCTGTGTTCACGCACTGTGTTTGAAAAAAAAAAAAGAAACATTAACAGGTAATATTGATCCTGAAAAGAGCGAAGCGTTATTTTCTTCGAATAAAAGAAAATTTAATTCTGTTTCGTTATCTTCGAACGCAACGATCCAGAGGAATGAATGAGAGAAAAAAAAAGATGAATTACCTGATGATTATCGAAAACCGGATGCGTTCCAAAAGAATGGCTCTTCCTATTGCGAAGAAGTTATTGATCGACGGCACTGATTATGAAATAAAATTCCATGGGACACCGTGGAACGAACCGGGCGATTTTTCCAAGGATCTTCCTTTTTCGTTCGAGCAGACACGTGGCGTCGAGACGGCTAGCGTCGTTACGTGCGCGACGCTACCGGTGTATGGTGCTACCACGAATACTTCACCGCCCCAAGATTCTTTCCCTCGGTCTTTTTCTTTCTACCCTTCCCCGCCAACCCCTTGTCCACCTTTTCCCCGGTTCACCACGATATCCCCACCACAGGAATTCCCCCTTTCGAACACGATGGGCAGCCATGGGTTCCCGGGAGACCCGTGAGGGACGTAGCTATAAACTTGGGTGCCTCGTATGTTATCGTTAAAACGATAATTTCTAGATTAATTTAAGAAATATTCCTACGATTCTTGGTTATTAAATGTTATAGAACTTCAATTCTTTTATCCTGGAGATGATTCCACCCCCTTAAACAACATCGTACCTTCGCAACTGGGTATGACACTTTCGTTCCACTTTCCCTTCTTGCATTCGAGTATCCTTATCCTTTCTTTGCTGTCTGGAAATACGCTGCCCAATTTGCAGACGAACGTCCTCGAAGTCAGAGTGCCATTCGATACGTAACTTCCGTTCGGCGCGGATATGTCCGGACAGGCTTGAACTGAAAGGACAAGTATACCTTTAGACAGAGCTCTTCGAATAAATATCAATTTGCTTGCTTATGAAATATTACATCAGCTGAACTTAACGATCGCTGAAGGCGTGTTTCAAAGTCGCGAGGATACGTGTCAAGTGACGATTCTGTTCTGAAAATAATCCCGTCAAACGTTATTTCCGTACGTCAAAGATTCATTGCGCAATCGTCTCGAGTTCCATCGATCATCGGATAAGTGTCGATTTCAGGAAGGGATAATCGCGAACCACGTGGCTAACTCTGACCTTGGTATTGCAGGAAGAATCCTCGGGCAGCGAACAACCTCTTCGAAGCTACCAGATCCGGGGTGATCACGTTCGAATTCGAGACGACAAGATCGAGGGTGATCACGTTCGAATTCGAAACGACCTTCACACCAGCTGCGGTACCGCAGTGCTCGAACAGAGTTCTCCCTCTTTCTCGCACCCGCACCACGTCCACGCAACTTCCATCCGTTTCCGGGCCTGAAAACACGGTTAAATTTTATTAATATCACCGATGCTCCAAATGCTGGAACATTTCGAATAACGCGTATCTCACGGGTTAATTGCAGAGATGAATAACATTAAGGACCATTTCGCCGATCAATACCCACCCCTTATATCCAGGTCGTGGAAGGTGAGGAGGATGCTGTGGTCAGGAGCCGACCTGAAGGTCCATCCACACGTATTCTCACCGAGGTAATACAACGGGTATCCTGGTGAATTGATGAAACCACCCTCTCCTGGGACCACTTTCACCTCCTCGTTGCAATATTTCCTGACCGCTGCCTCTGGAACAAGCAGCAAATACGATCAGGTTAGTAATTAATTGCTTATTAAAAAGAGAAAAAATGAAATTTCTACGGTGCTATTGGGACGTTGGGATTATTTTTCTCTCTTAACGAAGAAAAAGAGATTTCCTTCGGTTCGATTGAATTACCACCCCCTCCTACGACGAGCCCCAAGGGTATTGTTCGCGGTAGAAACGAGAATGAAGGACACACTTTTGTCGTGGTAACGAGAGGAATCAACATCTGCATCCGTTTCGGTCCATTTGTCGATTTCGAGTGTGACTCTGGCCTCCATTATGTGACATTTGGTCTGGGAGAGGGTGTCCTTGCCCCACTTTCTACTGGAGGGGTGAACTAACACCTGGAGGGGTTGCTACCGGCTTGTAGGGCGTCGAAGGGGTTGCTTCAGCCCTTGCTGCCTCTTCTCCGATGAAATACGCGCCCATTGTTCCTCAGGCGAGGAATTATTTCTTGATTTATCGTTATTGTTACAGTGAAAGATGAATCAAGACGTCTTTCATCAAACTCGGGAAGAAAAATGTTAGGAATATATTATTTATAATCGATTCAAATAATTAGTCATTTTTAGAAGAGAAAAGTGTAATTCAGATGAAATTCGAAGGGTCTTTTTGGATCTTTTGTGATCCTGAAACTTGGGTCGTTGCATAGGAATGGCAGATTAACGTGTCCTTCGCTAACTTCTTTTCTCTTTTCTTTGTATGCACTGCACCGTACAATGCATCGTCGTTTTCCAGAAGAAAACGCTGTAATCCTCTGAAAATTGAAGGCCGAAACCGTTTTGAATCAGGTTCTTTCCTTTAAAGCAGCATTCTTGAAATTTAGAAAAATTTATATTTTAGAAAATTGGGGATTATCGAGTGAACCTGTCTGTAAATTGATCGTCTGCCTTTTATAAAGGGGAAGTTACCCTATTCGTGAGTACAGAAAGCCAAGCTGCATGTATTTCCTGTCTCTTTTCTTCCTTTTTATTCTAAATCATCACTGTGCGTAGTATGTGTCTGGAGGTTTTGAAATAAAATTTTGATTTATATCAACACTCACCAGGAATGCAGGCGTATTTTAATCGCAAAGTGGCCGGGATCCATTGGATGGTGCCTGGATGGTCAGTGGTGAAATTGTAGCGACAATGTTTTTGTCCAGAACATCTAAAAAAAAAAGGGAAACGAAGGAAACCCTGTTAATATATTTAGCATGCACACGTGTCCCCTTTAAATCTTCTTTCAAATCGTTCCCACCAACGCAACGTGAGAAACGCAAATGGTGCAACGCAGATTGTATCGATTAGCTTCTCGACGCGGTATCGTTGATTAAAACAGCGACGTCAGTCATTAGAGAGTCTATCGGTTTGAAAGCACCCTACGAAGAACAAAGGAGAAAGATCGCGATTGTTTTCAGATCGGAAAGATTACGTTTGCACGTAGAGCATCGAAAGTGGTCTAGCTGCGGGGAACAATGGTTGAGCTTCGATTTTCAACCCTTTCCCCATAGGGTTGCTTCCCTATTCTCGTCGATTATTATCGCCCTCCTCCCTTCGACGGAAATAAAAGAGAAATAACCTTGCGCCACCCACGCGGGGAATCCGTTTAAATTCTTCAATGAATTGTTCTTTTTTTTTTTCTTTGTAAAAATGAAAGAATTTGAGAAACTGAATTGCTCTGAATCCAATGGCAAGGTAGCCGAGATTCCAGGGAGAGACAGGGTTAGTTAACTCCCTCCGTTTCGCGACTGCAACCCCTTATTTACAAAGTTCATCGAGCTGTGCTCATAACGCGGGATGCATTCTGTTGGAAACGATTTCTCCTTCGACGGGCATCGATCGTCGCTCGAAAGGCAATTAAAAACTTGCCGTACGGTTAGCTGGCTCACATCAAACGACGATTTTGCGTGCCGAGATTCCGTTCCACCCTCGAAGACACGCCACCGTGCGTGGGACAGAAAAGAGCCGAACTTGGAGTACGAGAGGGTTAGTTTACAGAGCTGTCTAATTTCGCGGAATTGCATTCGATTTCAACGACGCGATTGTCCGGCTCACCCTTGCGCTTCTCTGTGAACTGTGACATTTGGTGTCGGCAATGGCGCGAATATATCAGGGTGCACTGGCGTGGAGAAAAAAACCGATAAAAGGTCGGGGACGATTCCGTTTAATTAAACGGTGTAAATCGACGGAAATTTAAAAGTGAGATATTAGAAAATTGAAATTTTATTTTTAGAAGATTAACAGTTGAAATTTTTACACAGGGTTGAAAGTAAAAAAGAAGGAACGCTACCCCTTCTAAAGTAATTCATTTATGTAAACTGTAATGTACCGTGGGAACAGTGATTACTACATAGAATTAAGCATGATTATAGCCGGTTAGGAGCACACTGTTTCAACTTTGCCTCTCATCGCGGTAGGAATGGTTTTTCCATTCTGTGGTCAACACACGCCGGTAATCGAATATTCTCAGCTTGCCGCTCTTTTTTGCGGATGTCTAGTGGGTGACTCGTGTTACCACGGTTGGTTATTGTGTCGAAATGTTACGAAAAGCGAAAGCAACGACCCCGAGGTAACTTTGAGGAACATCGGATTAATTATGATTTTTGAAAAAGAAAAGAACCTACTTTCTATTCACCGATTTCCTGACGTCCACCACTTGGTATTCCAGTTCGTCAGGATCGTCGATGTAGTTTCCCTTCAACTCCTTCTTCCTGTACGACGAACTGCTACCTCGATTTATATACACCATCTTCTCCACTTTCTTCGAGTCGTACCCGCAAACGTGAGTGGAATTTGATAAGTATTCCGCTTCCAGGATGAAGATGAACGCCTTCAATGACCTGCAGGTCAGTCGTACCACCTGATGGGAGCAGTGTTCCTCCTGGACCACCTCCATGTATCCACCCTGAAGCCTGACACCCTTCAGGATATTGGAGAACGATGGTTGGCTGTTCAGGGTCAATGTACACCTCGCGACCGTCGTCAAAAGCAGCAGGAGACTCGTGAGGGTCGTTGCTCTTGGCGCCATGGTCGTTGATCATCACAGAGGTCGAAGGAGTCCTCTCGAGATGGTCTTAAAATTAGCCTCCTCGAGGAGCAGTCAAGTGGACGTCCAGTTTCTCGGCTGGGTTTCTGTTTCTTGTTCCAGAGCGGCTCTTTTGCCAAGAACAACTCGAGGACCACTTTTCCTGATACGGATCCTGCTCTCTGTTCTTTGTCCTACGGTTCAGCGAGACGCACGAAGTTTAGCGTGGGAAGAATTGGGTAAAATCAAGGTTTATCTTCTTATAATAATTAGTTAAAAAAGAGCCAAGAAATTTGAAATTTTAGGTAGACAATCCAAATAATTAAGTCCTCTAAATTGCTCTGAAAATTTCCAAAATTGTTCCATCGATTTTTTTCAAATATCTTCTAGAAACGATCCGGTGAAAAGCGAAAGGGAATTAATAGTTTCAATGAAACTTACGAAACTCTGGTGCTCAGGTGTTTCTTCTTTGGATCTTCGCGAAGTAGTCGCTAGAACGGCCACCAGCAGGTCGGATAAGCGTCGGAAGACTGAAGAGAAACGATTATTTATCAATCAAAATCACTCCTCTCTCTTTTATTTTCGGCCCGCGTGCTGGTGGCCGTCGGTTCCTGGCATCTTCAGGTTTGTTGGTGCAACGAAGAGACCCTGGTGCGCGATCAATCGTCCACGGCCAAGTTTCAGCCTGCTAGACGACCCTAGACACTCTTTGTCTTCAAGGACGTGGATTCGAAATAGTATCGAGAATATGATCTATCAATTTCGAATCCCTTGTCCCTTGACTTCTCTTTTATTTTTAAAACAACTCGTTCAAATTGTTTCACATCGAACAGAGTTTGAATGGTTTGATTATTTTCCTAAAGTTCGTGTCAATTTTTATGGCTCAGCCTTTGTTTTCTCTTTGGAATCCAACGCTTTGGTTTTTCTTCTATTCTCGGAACGAAACGCTTTCGAAGTTTCTTTGGTACGTTCTTAGACTTCAGGTTCCATCGATCAGTCTCTCGAATAAATTAATAATTAATTCGTGATTGTCTCTTTATAAAAATATATCGATAAATTATCTCTGTAACGATAAATTGCTCTAAAAAAATATAATATAAAATCTTGTATTCGTCTTCCGACCTGCTGCTACGATCGTTCGAAAAGAATGTCCAGTTCTTCACCAATGGAAGAAATCTTTCCTCGAAGGCACAAATTGATCCAGTTTGTTTAATCCAATTCCGTCAGCCACCGTCGACCAACATTCGACGTCGTTTCTCCACGATTACATATAATTTTCTCATTTTAAACAAACACTGCATTCTCCTCGTGCCACTTCAACTTCCGTCCAACGCGTACCCATTATATCACTGTTTCAATCATCTCCAGGATTCTCCGGTTACCCTCGATCCTTCCACTACATCAATTTTCCCGTCAAAATATTGAACTTTGAGAAACTTTCGGCGCATTTCCGCCCACGATTAATCACACTTAGAAACTACCCCTTTCTCCCTGTCCCTTGTTGCACCGTAACTACGCGTAACAAAACATTAACTTCCGCTTTGAAAATGAATTTCAATATTCGTTGAACAATCTTTTGATTAAACAATTTTCTTTCATGGATAAATCCACGTGTAAGAAGGAAAGTGTTGGTCGTTCGAAACGTCGACAGCGTCAAACTTTCGATTTATCGTCGATCGAAAAAATAACACGTACATGAAAGAGGCAAACTGTTTGGCGACGTGCCCGACACTGAAGTAACACGAACCGTGACCCGTTCTTGTCGAACATTCGTCGCTCTATAACACGAATCGCCTTGCTGTCAGTCCGTTCTCTAACAACTGACAGCCTAAACTGCGAATACTAGAAGCCATTGGCATGAACGCTACCCCCAGGTAGTTGTAGTCGGCGCCCCTCCTCGACCATCCTCTGAAAGCGACGGTGGTTACTGAATGGGGATACTAGATCGTTTTCGATCATTTTCAATTTCAGGTGAATTTTCTTCCAGGTATTCGGTGAAAATTATCGAAAGTGCTGGGAAAGTTGGAGAATGGAAAAATGGGGGAAAAGTCGAAAAATTGAGGAAATAGGGAATGCTGGAAAAATTTGGAAACTTGAGGAAAGTCGATAAATTGAAAATTGAGAATGTCAGAAAATTGGGCAATGAGAAAAGTCTGAAAATTTGAGCTTTTACCACTTAAGCTCCTCTTAAAGGTGGAGGCGAATCTTTTCTGATGCGAGAACTCTGGTAAAATAACAAACAATTATTAAACAGTCGTACTAATTACTCGGCATTAGCAATTTAAGCTTGAAATTTTGTAACCCCTTGGTGTTGCAACCCTCTGAAACTCGTATTCAATCTCTTCAAACACATTCAAAGTTAATTTAAAACTTTCCACCCCTTCTCGTAGAGTGAAAAATAAATAAAATAAGCATTTTATATTAAGTATTTTGAAGAAGTTTGTTAGCTGTTAATTGTCTGATTGAGCTGACGCGAATTAATTTCAAATGTTTCTCGTTCAAATCGAGTGGTTGGAGATGGCTGGTTCTAAGGGAGGCCACCCTATAACAGCACGTGCACGTTTTTCGGGGTTCACGAGGGGTGTCGATGGGGTATACTCTTCTGTAAGGGTGGTTTTCCCTTTTCTGGATCCTCCCCTTTAATCTCTGGCTTACTTTTCTTCTACCGAACATCGGTCTGTGATTTCGACAGCTGCTCCTTTCGAATTGCGACGCAAAATCGCTTTTTGATTTTTAGTTTCTTAGATCCTTGGATGCAAAAAGTTTTCATTTACAAAATTTATTAAACTGTAAATGTTTTATTTTTTAATGTCACATCTGATATTCGACATTGAAACAGTAACAATAGCGTTTCCACGTTTTCCCCATTTTCCCCATTTCGATTCACACATTTAATCCCCCGTTTCTGTTCTTAAACCATTGAATAGATCGATCTGCGATCGCGACAGCTGTCGTTATTGTGTCTCGATAGAGCAGATTTTTCATCGAATTTCCTGGAAATGTTTGTCGTACAATTCTCCATATGTAGTGACCATGGTAATTGGTCAATGGGAACGAAAATTCTATTGAAACTTTGATTTTAATCCGTCAGTCATCGCGAAACCATGTTCTATTTTGTTAAATAAATTGAGTTTTATGCCGTATCAAAAATCTTATTTTAAGATTCCATTCACTTGGTGGGTTTTCAATCCAAAGCTACGGTCTAAATAGACAGTAGTCAAGAGAAGCTTTTCAAACATTTTCTAAGAAAATAAATCAATACTTTGATAGTTTTCGCTTGGTTGAAAGATCGCAGACACATCACTGATACTGCTTCTCTTTATACAAGCATCAATACTTGTCTGAATTATTATCTCTTTCAATCTCATCTTCTCTCGTGTTCCACTTTACTCAAGGATTAACTTTGCATTTCATGAGTAACAATTTCATTTATAATGCTTCTTCTCTTTTACGAAGAATTTCTTCGATTTTTTTAAATATCAAATTTCTCATAAATTTATTTCTTCCCAACAAAATTCAAATTGAACGACCCTCGAGTTCCAATTCACGTGATGGACATCCGTTAAAAGATATTTTAAAATCCAGACGAGTCTCTCCAGCAGTGTCTTACCTTACAAGCAGCCAGCAGGCGCTTCTTCGATTCATTGAAGATGAAGAGGATGCAGAAGTGTCCAAGGATGGTCTCTTCTGCACACGATTGTCCCATTGTTCCTTGGCACGTGGGTCCTCGTAGCGAGCATCTGCGCCATCCCCAGGAAGCTTCCTTTTCCACCGATATACACCGGTTGTCATCGATCCTCCCTGTTGTTCGTAAATCAACCATATTCGTTGAAAATTTCTCGAGGACCAGGATGCATAGCATCTGCCCATGTTGCACACGTGCTCACCAAGACGCTCTTTACGAGACACGAACCTCTTTAAACGGGTCAGAACTGTAATGCGATTTATTTGAATTTTAAATGCGATAGGAATTTGATATTATTAAGGTAATGAAGGTGTGATTTAAGTAACGAAATTAAATCGACCTGGAAATTACAAATCCTTTAAGTGGGATTAAATCAGAGGGAATTTGAATAAGTTGATTAAGTATGCAAATCCTTCTTCCACCTTGTTACGTTCAGCCTTCCTTTCGTAGCAATTTTTATCTCTTCTCAAAATTTACAATTTTTCAATATTGTATTAATAATTAATGTGATACCTTAATGAACAACCTACGGGCCAGGTGTTTCTAGCAAGTATCAATCATAAAGTTAATTATAAAACCGAAACGAAATTTCACCCTTACCCCAATGACGAAGCAGGATATTTTTCCCTTCGTCTAAAATGAAAATAGAAATAGGTGAACGAAGAATCCAATTTTAGTAAACTTTTACAGAATTTGCGTATCAAACGAGCCGTGACTGGTCGCACATGTCGCTATAATTTTACCAGCGCGTGCCCTAAGGGTTTTGTGCCCCCATTCAAGGGGTGTATCAGGGTGAAAAGGACCGCAGGGTTGCACGTGACTGCACAGCAGACCGGATGCGATTTTTTTCATTTCGCTAGAGAATTACCTAGGAGACCGTGTCTACAGGAAATTTGCGTTTCCATTATGACATGATTAAGGACTTCTCCTTTTACTCGAAAAATTTTCCATTCTTCTTCTTAACAGTATTCTTGTAAGATGTATCGAAATACTCGCAAGAAAAAATATTCTATCCGAAGAACGTTCGAAGGTAAAAGCATCTTTCAACATCGATCCATTACACAGAAGCTACAATTCATACTCTGAAACAAAAATATTCTTTACGGGCCATCGTGTACTCCCACATACCCGAAAGATTTAATGGGAGTTTCCGACTATCCAGTTTAAATAAAGAATGGTTTACCTTGAATTTACCCAGCCATTCCATTTCACTTTAATCAAACTATTATTGTACACCAGGATTTATATCGTGTTCAGGATAAAATATCGAGGAGATCAATTTCAGAAACCAAATCATTAATCTATATCAATTCAATATTTGTAACATACGTATTCTGTTATTTTAGTTGAATCATTTCAAGAGTATAAGAGTTGAAGAATTTATTTAAATAAATTTAATATAAATAATCAATTGAGTAATTCTATATCATATGAAATTTCTTTTTGCATGTTTGAATTTTCGCACCAAAGTTAGTTCTGTATTTGACCGACAGAGTACCTGCAAAGTAGGGGGATCCCAGAGATTCGGGAAGTTCATCTGTGTTTTAATAAATAAATTCGTAACAACATGATTTAGCAGCATATAATAAATTAATATGATAAAAGTATATTTTATTTAAGGAGCATTCTCATGATTCTTTGTTACTGCTGTTTTCTGTCGATAGAGGGCGGTAGTGTTCTCGTGTGGAATTCATACTACAGGGAGACCTATCTAGAATTGCATAGTTTAAGTTTCTTTTGAATCTAACCACCATGGGTGAGTTGTTTGATTTTATACAACGTTTGTTTTCATCCCTTTGAATCCATATTTTCTGATTAAAAATTGCCGATAAGTAATTGTCAGTAGATCCCAGAAACATGCTTTCCTTCTATTTCGATATATATTATTTTCATAAGCAGTATTTAGAAAATTAAATAAATGATACATTGACATTTCTGATGTTTTATTATTTTGATATAAAACACTTATTATCGATAGAGTTACTTATTTTCACATGCTTATGCATTGCTATTTATTGCTATAAATGTTACTTTTTTAAAGTGATAAGCAGCTAACAATATTTAATACTTTGTTGAATGTACATAGAGGTTATGGGTGTTTACCATATTTTGTCTTCATGTTTTTACGTAAGTTTTACGACTAAAGCATGATATATAAAACGAAAATAAATTCCAGGTATTTCTCGAGATCACTGGCATAAGCGACGTGCCACTGGTGGCAAAAGGAAACCTCTTCGTAAGAAGAGGAAGTTCGAGTTAGGACGTCCAGCTGCAAATACTAAGCTTGGAGCACAACGTATTCATACGGTATTGTTACCTCAATATTTTATATTAATTGCCATTAGGGATGAACGTAATTTTGAAGAATGAATTGATAAATTTTTGCTTTTCATATAAACTAGGTACGTACACGAGGCGGAAACAAAAAGTACAGAGCTCTTCGTTTGGACACAGGCAACTTTTCATGGGGATCAGAATGTTGCACAAGGAAAACACGTGTTATTGATGTAGTCTATAATGCATCAAACAATGAATTAGTGAGAACCAAGACTCTTGTGAAAAATGCAATTGTCACCATTGATGCAACACCTTTTAGACAATGGTACGAAAGCCACTATGTTTTACCGTTGGGTCGTAAACGAGGTGCTAAGCTAGTAAGTAATTAGGGTTTTAGATTTTTCATATTATTAGGCTCTAAACATTTTATTAACTAAGTATGCATTTATAGACTGAAGCTGAAGAAGAAGTTTTGAATAAAAAACGTTCGAAAAAAGTAGATGCTAAATACAAAGCGAGGCAACGATTTGCCAAAGTTGAACCAGCTTTAGAAGAGCAATTCGCCACGGGTCGCGTCCTCGGTAAGCATCGTTTATTCAACAAATTCGGAAAATGAATAAGGATAACGTTCACGAGATTCGTGAAATGGGTTCTACTTCTAAATAATACTTGAATAAAAATTTTAGCATGCATAGCAAGTAGGCCTGGACAATGCGGTCGGGCGGATGGTTACATACTGGAAGGAAAGGAACTTGAATTTTACATGAGAAAAATTAAGAGCAAGAAAGCTAAATAGAGAGATGTAACTATGAGAAGAAAAAGGCACATCTCTCTTTTTTTAACATTATCTTTATTATAACTTTTGTGTACAGAACAACAATAAATTACAGTACAGGAGAGATTGTACGAATATAAACTGATAAATAACAGAACTAATCTCCCTAGCCTGATATTAGTTCCTAAGTTCGTCGTTCTGAATTGTAGAGTGCGCAACAGAACGGCTAACTAGCAATCAACAAAAGATCGCCGGCATAACCTTTAAACATCTAAACAGGAAATAAATTCCAACGTTTGACAAATTTCACTGAACATTTATGAAAGGTAAAAACATTCGAGTTCCTCCTACATTTATAAATGTATCCCTATCATGTAATTATCCCAAATAATAATGCATTGTAACTACCATTATAATTCACATAAATATAAAAACATGTATGCAATGTAAGGTCAGGTTAGATTAAATTTAAACGATCTAGAGGGCAGTACATACTTTACGTGTGCTATATGTAATCGTTCAACGTGCCGCATATCTCAGAATCGAACTTCTTTAACTAAATATAACATCGCTGCTTGTACACGCCGCGAGTTTTTAATTCCTTAAAAGATTGTTAGATATGAATTGACAAACCATATTGGCAGATATTTTGCCAAACGTGTATCCTCGATCCATCTCGATCTACGATCACGTTACGAGAGGTAAGTGCCTTCTGTCAAGGCATGTTGAGCATACTTTGCCTCGCCTCGTGTTTTTCTTGCGTTATAATTACGCGATTTTACGTCATCTAATTTTATTATAAATTTATATTAATTCGCGTTAATTCTCATAAAATATATGTACCTTTAGTATCTTTCATGAGTTGTTCCTTAGATGTGTAATAAGCAATGCATTGTTATTTCAAACCAAGATAAAAGTTGAATACATTTAGTAAGAGGATATTCAAAAGATTGTAATCAGTTATTATTTTTAATTGTAACAGAGTAGGTAGGAATGGATTTCGAGTTGGGCAATGTTGCCCAAATATCAGCAGAACTTGCTCAAGTAGTAGAGGTGATGATGTCACCAGATGTTCCTCAGCAGCAACGTTTAGACATGTATAATGCTTGTGAAAGATTTAAAGAATTATCTCCAGTGTGTGCACAATGCGGATTATATTTAGCGCAAAAAGCACCAAACAGAAGTCCTGTGGTTCGTCATTTTGGACTACAGTTAATGGAACATTCTATTAAATATAGATGGACACAAATATCACAACCAGAAAAGATATTCATAAAGGAGAATGCAATGAAATTACTTCGAGAAGGCACAGAACCATTACTGCAAGAAGAAGCTCACATTAAAGATGCACTTTCACGTGTTGTAGTAGAAATGATAAAACGAGAGTGGCCACAACAATGGCCAACATTACTTGCAGAGCTCAGCCAGGCTTGTACAAGGGGTGAGAGCCAAACAGAGTTAGTTCTCTTAGTATTTCTAAGACTTGTAGAAGATGTGGCACTCTTACAAACATTAGAATCCAATCAGAGAAGAAAAGATATATACCAAGCACTTAATACAAACATGGCTGAAATATTTAGCTTTTTTTTAAGACTAATGGAACAACATTTTTCTGAGTTTCAAAAGAAAAGTAGTTTAGGTTGTACTTCAGAAGCAGCAGCTCATAGTAAAGTTGTACAGGTAAATTGATATAAAAGTTCTAAGGAATAAAATTATTAATTAAGTTTATTAAATTGTTTTAACTTATGTAACAGGTTGTATTATCTACCTTAACTGGGTTTGTGGAATGGATTTCAATCACTCATGTTATGGCAGAAGATGGTAGATTACTGCAAATATTATGTCTTCTATTGGGGGATCCAATATTTCAGTGTTCAGCTGCTGAATGTTTATTACAAATCGTAAATCGTAAAGGGAAAGCTGAAGACAGAAAGCAGTTAATGATTTTATTTTCTGAAGATGCTTTAAGGTACATTTATACAGCTGCCACTACAGCACCACCTGTTACTGGAACAAATGAGATTCATGAAAATCATTACTTATTTTTAAAGAAACTGACACAGGTAAACAAAAATTTGCCTTTACAATAGAAGGGGGATTGAAACAAGAAAATTTGCACGTATATTCTTTGCATAAATTTTTATTTTAATTTTGAACAGCTACAATAAGTAACTAATATTAACTTTAAATTCAAGGTGTTAACTGGTATGGCAACTCAACTATGTGCACTTTGGGGTAAAGATGATAGTTCCAGCATACGTCCTACGCATTTCAACATATTTTTAGATACTGTATTAACTTACACCATGTATTCAAATTTAACATTAACACACATGGCAAATGCAATCTGGATAATGTTGTTTAAACACGAACAGATAAAGCAAGATCCGTTATTGTTAACTTATGTACCGAAATATGTAGAACACACGGCGCCAAAATTAATAAAAATAGCGTATCCCCAAAGTAGACAAAGTAATGGAACGAGTGCACATTGTCTCGCTGATTACGATTCGGTTGAAGAGTTCAATGTTTTTCTTCATCGATTTAGAACTGATTTATTAGAAGGCTTTAGACAGGCGACAATGATCGCGCCGCTAGTAACGTTTACCTACGTACAGCAATGGTTGACAGCTAAAATAACAAAGGGAATGGCAGATCTTCAATTTCAAAGCGATCAAAATGATCCACATTACCTTGAATGGGAAGCCCTTGCGCAAGCTTTGGATTCTGTGGTCTCCAGAATTCTGTTAATTAACGAACGACCAAGCGTACAAACTGGACTTCAGTTGTTGGAGCTATGCCTTGGCTATTCTCCGCAAGATCCTTGGCTATTATCGGCGCTACTATCCTGCATTAGTGCCCTGTTTGTGTTCTTATCGATGTCAACCGGTTCGATAACTATGCCAGGAGTTTCTATTCTGCCTAGAGTTTTGGAGAAGATCTTTGCTGCTCTGGTATTCGAAGCGCCTGGTGAAACAAAGGGTACTCGATCTAGAGCAGCAAAGAATGTGAGGCGACACGCAGGCAGTCTAATGGTAAAGATCTGTTTAAAATATCCATTGTTACTACTCCCAGTTTTCGAACAGATACATACAATGGTTCGAGGTCTAACAAGAGAACCTAGCCCTTTAACCAAAATGGAGGCCACTTTGCTTTACGAAGCACTTTTACTGATATCAAATCACTTCTGCGATTACGAAAGGCAAACCAGATTTGTTGCCGAAATAATCGGCGACGTGTCCGCAAAATTTATCGCACTTGGATCCGAATCATTCAAAGGACCATTAGAATTAATGAGGTTCATAGGATTGGATCGACCGCCGGCTGAGAACATAACGGAAGATCCAGCTGGCCAAAATCGGAGTGACTTAATGATTTGCATCTGTACAGTATTGTGCGTTGTAAAACGGTGCAGCATACCGGACGATCCGGATCGTGCTGCAAGAGGTAGTTTCGTCGCTGCTCTTAGCGAAAGTGGAAATCCGGTGTACAGAAATCCTGCTACACCGCACGTGATCCCAGTACTGCCGACACTTTTTGCATTGCTTAGAACCATGAATGCTCTCTTCACTCCTACCGCTTTAGCAGCCTTGTCTGAGGTAATAGAAGCATCCATATTTTCTCCTATTTAACGTGTAAGATATATTAATTATTAAAATTTCTTTATTTTCCAGGGATATAAAAATGCTCATGACTTATTGGAAGCAGAGAAAGCGAATCTATTAGGTTTAAATACGGCAAACGATAATGCCTCCGAGCCTGACCAATCTTCCTTCACGGCTTTAGTTCGAATGCAATCATTTCTTAGTACTATTCACGATCTCTGCTATCATATGCTGGGCAGTGGATGTCATACGATCGGAAGAGATTTTTATCAATTACCTGGGTTAGCACCGGCGCTTATCAACTCGGTCTTTTCTAACATGGAGGTAATTTTGCGTTCCATTTGTCGTTTCAATTAAACGAAAGATGCGTATTTAAATTTGGAAGAAGTTAATTTCTTGTTTATTTCTTAAAACAGATTCCGTTTGTTTATTTCAGATGATTCCTGATTATAGATTAAGACCTGTTATGCGCGTCTTTATGAAGTCGTTCATATACTCTTGTCCACCTGCATTTTATGAAAGTGTTCTTGTACCTGTACTGGCTCATGTTTCCACACATAGTAAGGCCATCTATATTCTTTTATACAACATCCTGTATTATTTATTTACCTGTTACTTATGCGTCTTTCAACAGTGTACCATAGGCTAAGTACCAAGTGGCAGTATATAGCACGCCTTTATGAGTCTGGTGGTTTAGACGAGGAAAATACTGATACGCAAGAAGTTATTGCCGATATGCTGAATCGAAATTTGACGAGAGACTTCGTAGAGTTATTGAAGGTAGTACTCGTTGGTGGTGCTGCTAGCGATGCAACACCTCCTGACACTATGGAACAAGACAGTGAAGGTATGGCCATTGATCCTCCTTTATCACGCGGGAACAGTATAGTTGCTGAAGTTGTTAGCGAATTGGGAGCAGTCGTACTTCGTCACCCGTCTACATGCCACAGTGTGGTTTTATGCGTTTTAGGGTAATGAATACTTTTACTTTCGCCTAATATTTGTCGGTGAAATAGAAATACACATTTCCAACAAAATAATTCTTTTTTTTAGGGCCTTGGCTTGGAATGATTCGAATGCAAGTTTCAAAGCTACAATGTTAACTGGGCCAGTAGTGCGATCATTAGCGGCCGATGGTAGTCTAACGCCTGCTATGGCTGCTCATATTATGGTAGCTATTCTTCAAGGCTTACAACTTCATGGACAACATGAAGCCAATCAAGGTTCCTTGATAACTTTGGGCGCACAAGTTTATGAGTGTTTACGACCCAAATTCCCTAATATTATTGAGGTAATGCAACAAATTCCGGGCGTCAATCCCACGGATTTGCAACGTTTCGATGAAAAGATGTCTGTAATTAGTACTAAAGGAAACAAAGTAGAAAAAGGAAAGAAAGATCTATTTAAGAAAATTACGAACCAGGTAACGTTTTTTCATAATTATTTTTATTATTAGAATAGAACAGAAGGTTTATTTGAGTATATATTATGTGTATTCGTACAGCTTATTGGTCGAAGTGTTGGTCAGTTGTTCCGTAAAGAAGTTAAAATAGACAATTTGCCACGAATAGAGGTTTTTGGTAAACAACAGGCGATACGAGTGGACGAAATGTCAGAAAATTCGACTGACAGTGGGTTTGCAACTTTGTTCGCGGGATCTACGTAGCAGAAACTACATCTAGATGACCATATTGCATGCACGTGGTTTAAACTGATAAATGGTAATAAATCATCGTAATATACGATTTCCTATTAAAAGAAAAAAAAAATTAAACTCTATGGGTAAAAGAATCTTCTAATTGAAATAAGAGGACTTCATAGAATAAGTCTATTCGAGAACACATGTATTTTTTTCTGAAATTATTTATTAAGTTGTACACGTGTATACAGTCTGGGATGATGCGAATATTTATCAACGCATCTGTTAGAAATGAAGGAATAAAATTAATAAAAAGAAACTACGCTTACGCACGCATTTAACGTTAACTGTGAATAATGTGTAAAAAAGAAACAAAAGATATTAAACCAGTGTTATTTGTGAAGTCCTCCTATTTTCGACCTGGGACTTCAACCTATACGGAAAACATTTTGTCTCGCGAGAGTATCCAGGGTGCGCGCGCATACGCGTGTGTATGTATGTATGTATTGTGTGTATGGTGCGTAACAAGTACGCACGTGTAACATAAGACATTCGTCGCTAAAAAACATGCAACAGATGTAATAAGACAAATTTTAAACGGATATAAGTATGTTTTCGAACAATTGTATATTAAGTCTCACGCATTTATTATATTATTCCTTTGGATTTACATAAAATCTCTTGTAACAATGTAAAGCAGCATGGTTTTCAACGATCACACGATGTGTAGTACAGACTTTTGTAAACATTTCGCTAATGTACAATACAACGGTTGTTGATTTATAAAAAAAAAAAAAAAAAAAAAAAGAACAATTTTACTATTTCATATAAAAGTTTATATTCGAATCGATTATAATTGTTTTCAAATAACAAGAAAGTGCGTACATTTCTTAGTACTTTTAAAGCGTTTTACATATAGTACATGTTCGCACTGCTATTTTTTTTTTCATTTTTTTTTTCTTTTTCTTATAAGAAAGTTTGTTTAGATATTTCTTTCTTCTATTTCAAACAGTTATAAAGTGAACCTTCTTCGTCTAACGCGGAACAATTTTTATTTAGTATGCGTTACAGCCGTTTTTTAAATGCAATCTTTAACGTTTAAAATTGACAAAAAATGTAGCATTTCAAATGCTTATTACGTGGCTCTTGTTCAATATCAGTAACATTTACACGTTTTGTTGTTACTATTTTCATTTGTGTTAATTATATTCCGTTATTGTGAATAATACAGCATCGTAGCTATCGCATGAAAAATCAGATTAGTACATTACATGATTACCATTACACATCACATAATGATCGATAACAGGTGACAATCGTGTAGCATTCGAGAAAACAAACGGTATTTCCGTCTCGGGATCGTCTGTCAGACTTGTCGTCAGTGGGACTGACAACAGACGACCCTTCCCCAGACACCTATCATACCGCAGTTTGAAATTTGTATATATTCGAGCCGCATGCCGGGCGAGCGCTTGTAAGAGCACAATTCCTATCGCCGCCACCTAGCGCTCCCCGGCCCGAACTCAAGGCGTCCGGGGAGACGAAACCCTCTCCACTAAATCGAATCGAATTTAAAAATTGTCTGATGACGGATATATAGTTAAAAAAAAAAAAAATCTATCGTGACAAAGACTGTGCTTCGTAAATATTAAATAATAACGAATATATAAATAATTTTAAATTATTATCGCGGTGATTCTTTTGTTTCTATGTACGTTGAAACGATAACATTCCATGATATTACATTTTGTTAAACACAGTCAATTTACTTATTATAATTAACTACACATATGTTACAAAATTCATAAAAGTCTACATTTTAACGGTGAAATGCTTTGTCCAATACCCTTTTTATTCACTTAAAAATTCGCGTGTCTACTTTTATAAAATACCCAAAAACTCGTGAACTCATTTGGTGATAAGTACGGACAAGAAAAATGCTGGAGTTCAATAGACATTTTGTAACATTGTTGTACGTGTATAATGCGCATACAAACAGGAGAGATTCAAAGAGATTTATATACCGAATCTCTATAAACTGTCTGAAGTACAAAATTGCAGTAAAATGTAGCGAAAAATATTTCACAATTTTTATAGTCTCGTTTTTGTATGATCCTTGTACCGATAATTAACGAAACAAGATAAATATTAGATTAATAATGATGGAATGGTAATTTTATAAGGTATACATGCTTTTACGGGCATCCGTTATTCGTCCTTATTTCGCAACAAATAAAGACAAAATAGATCTTAATTTACAGGTAAGGGTTGTGGCTAGACCGCTCAACTCATGATTTCAATCACAGCACTCTTTTAGTGGTCTAAAAATGCTTCGATTCCGTGAATGCATTTTGTCGATTTTTTACCTCTTCTTTGGACGCTTATATTACTAAACATCAACATAATCCCACTGAAACATGAGTTGAGCGGTGTGCATTGGACCTTCCTCTTTCGAATAAGCCCTCACCCAGCCCTAAATGTTGTCATACAAGGACAAATAACGGAAGCGCGTAAACCCATGTTTATGCCCATTTTTGCCGGTAATGTCAACGCGCTACTATTACCCGTGTCTACCCCCTTAATGCAGCTTGAAATAATTTTTCTATCATCGTTACGTTCGACTAAAACAGAATGCAAAACTTGGCATGGAATTATAGAGTACTATGTTCTCGAGATTTATAGTAACCTTAAAACAGGTTTTTCTTCGTTATAATATTCCTTATACAGTGCGAATAATCAACGAAAATATGACATACACTGAACGAATGTACATAATTACAACGGTGTTAGATATAAGGCTCCGCTATAATTTACTGAACAAATAAGTCTTAAAGAATATTTTGAGATTCGAGCTATATCTTTTGTTACGATGTTGATACTTTGAAAGTGATCTGATACATTTTCATATCTAATTTACAATAGAAATAATTTTGATTATTACGGCAAAGAGAAAAAAAAAGAAAAGAATTATAATAATCTCGTACAACAGATCGAAAGAATAAAAGAAAGTTATCAGAAAGCTTTTTACATATATGATAACTAACAGTTATCAAATAAGTCGCACTTTTATAACTAGGAACTGTCGACAACAACCAGAGCCGGTCATTTATACGTTCGCTCGTTCATTCAGAAAGCATACAAACATTAACAATGCCTACTATTCGTCTCGATATACGTTTAGCACAGATTTTTGTTTCATAACAATATCAGGAGAAATTTCATTATTTTAAAATTGATTCGATTTTGTACTTTTTACATTACAAAGGTAGGTTTTTATAGGTCTCGTATCCGATACCCTTAAATTACGTAAAAAAATACAGTGAATATTTCATTAAGAATAAATATCTTTAATGAGCGAGCAATTGAAGAGTAAGGTACGTATTAGGTTAACGTGTTACGCCGACGGTACGCCTACCGTAGATTTTATACAAATTTCTTACGAGATCGCTAAAAGCTTTGATCCTGTAAAGATCATATGCTCGATGTAAGTGTAACGTGCAATCAAATAATTCCATGTACAGTTCATTCGACTTAATCGACTTAGGCATTTGAAATAATTTAAGCGCTTATCGTTGTATCAACATCGTTCTTTTTTCCTATTAATAGAAACACGTCCATGTTATCTTTCCCTTTAACATAAACTTGGCCACGTGGTTCAAACTCGTATCGTTCTGTGAGAATATCCAACGTATTCTTGGCCACTTGTATCCTTCCAGCTACTCCAGTAGAATCCATTCTGGATGCTATATTTACAGCGTCGCCCCAAATATCATAGTACAATTTAGTAGCCCCGATCACACCAGCGGTAACGTCACCGTAATTGAAGCCAATTCTCAAGATCAATTTAAAGCCTAACAGGTCTCGATTAAAATCATTAATTACCTTGTGCATCGCCATAGCAAAATCTATCAATTGAAATAGATGCGCGTAATCGTGTTCACTTTGTTGTCTGACTTGTGGATTTAAACCACTTGCAGCCATAAACGTACTACCGATTGTTTTGATCTTCTCGACGTTCGAAAATTCTTGCTTTTCTAATAACTCGTCGAAGTCGCCGATAAGTTCGTTCAACACACGTAGATACTCTTTCCCACCTAGATAAGACTCGTCGTAGAGTTCATTGAAATTGACTATACTTGCAAAAATAATGCCTACGGCTTTGTGATTTTGAGAATATTTAGCGGTGGTCTTCAATTGATCGGCCACGTATTTTGGTATAATATTATGCAAAAGCCAATCGGCTTGATTCTTCATCGACTGGACGCGAGTTTTATCTCTTGCCGCTACCGCGTTTCCGTGAAAGCTTAATCTGTAACTGATCTCAAATTCACGATTTAAAAACCAAACCAGCAGAAGTAAAAGTATCATATCCAAAAAAATCTCGGAATTGTACAATCTTTCGTGATATCGTATTTCTACTTCTCGTTGCCTTATGAAAGCATTCTTTACAGCAAAGTTTGATGCAGACCGAAGGAGAGTACCGTTAAATAATTTCTGTGAATTATTTGCGTTAATTTGATTGCTAATTAAATCTGTAACATTACCGAGATTCTTTTGACTGTACGATACATGATTCATTATGAGAAAAAGAAATATTACACCCATAAGCGTTACCAGGAAATTTTTCATCCAACAATTAAGTTGCGTGAAATTACAAAAATGTACTAAACCGACAAAGACCAAATAGCCGTAATAATATTCGAAATTATTCAAACTATGAAAATTGCTGCATGTATAATTGAGAAGAATAGACGTGATTGGTAAGCCAACCAGGACCGCGCCGCAAATATGCCAAGGGTACCATTGTAAGAAAAACCTAAATAATTGTTGTGTCAACGTCGCGTGGATCATATTCGGATATAATAGTTGACGCACACAAAGCGACACTGCTATAATTTGGATGGTGGTGGCACATACAGAAAAGATCATATAGTACAAAGTTGGTTCGCAAAGTAAGAAAAGCGAGACCGTCACGGCAGTGTAAACTAATGCCGATATTAAAATATCAAAGTACGTATTGAATCTCGAGGTAGCCAGAGTAGGTGGGTTGCCACTGATACATTCGCTAACCTTGTGAGCATTCTCTCTGTACTCCTTTTCCATTTCTTTGTTCTTAAAGAAAAGTGTCAAACTCGAAAGTGGTGGTTTCACAAAGTAGGACCGTTGAGAACTTACATTATCTTGAACACACCTGTATAAACGAACAAAATTAATGAGGCACTATCCTTTTAGAAAATATAAAATTATTTTAATTCACTTACCTGATTAACTGGAGATCAGATTGTTTCCTTAACTTATGAAAACATGCACCAAAAGTATCCGTCACTGCCGGAGGAAACGGATATGGCGGTACCGAAGACGATGGCTCGTGAGCAGAGTTTAACGTCGAGCTAGACGTATAATAACCACTCACTCTGTGAGCTAATAAGTCACCCTGAGCCATACCATTCATCAAAAACAGCTAAAATGTGAAAATTAACTGCAGGAGGAAAAGGAGTATGCTGACGTTGCTGTTCATTGAAATTGTAACATTAAAATGATTTTTTATTAAACGATAATATTGTTGAGCAATGCAAATATTTATTATACCTGTTGCTGTATACTGCTACGTCTACTATTACTTCTGATTCCAGAATCTTTTCTACTACACATAGAAGAGGCACGACTGAGTGGCTCTTGACCAGATAATAAAGGACTAGAAGGTACAGGATTCGGATCCATTTCAATGTCATTTTGAGATGTATTCTGTAAGGTAATGCAACTTATATACAAATGAGATGATACGATTACCTATTGAAATAAGAAGATTTTTCAATCCGATTTTGACCTGCCTAAATCCATTACGATCTTCGTATGAATGAGATTCAGTTTTTGATCGTTCAGCAATAATTGCTTTAGCTTCTTCCATTTCTAACGGGGTCATTTCTTCGGTAGTTCGTTGCCTCTGTAAATATCTCCAAGGTTTATTTCGTAACTTTTTTTTCCCATAACTAGCAACCGATACGGGACTTTTATTTGCATTTTCCTTTTCATCCGTCGTATCGATATCGCCGTTTTCGGAATCTAGAATACTTGGTAAAGAGTTCGCTTTGATTCTATAATTACTTGTATTAGTAACCATATGGAGATAGTGACATTTCGATTTAGATTGACTATTACACGAGGCCAAACGATGACGCGACTGCATTAAAGGCGATATACTTTTTGGTGATGTAATATTCATTATAAATTGATTAGTAAAATCAGATCTTCGACCTTTGATGAAATAAGTTTTAATACCTGAAAAAATTTTAATTATTAAATAACCTGAACGTATATACTTTCCATTTATATATAATAATATAATTATTAATACCATTTATTAATTCTCCATCTTCTGTAACGTATCCATCATCAAGAAAACTTAATGTTTTTTCACTTAAATGAACTCTTCCTGGTTTTCCTGTACTTTCTAATTTATTTGCCAATGTCACATCATTAGACCAAACATCGAACTTAAATCTTTTAGTACCTACAATTCCACAAAGCACGGTTCCGGTATGTACTCCAACTCTCATGTTGACACCCTCCCTTCTTTCAATATCAAATTGTTTTATAGCTTCTATCATAGCTGTTAAAATGTATATAATAATTATACTTTGTACACGCGTTTTATTTCCATGGTATAAAAGAAAAATAATATACCTAGTCCCATTTCGATACAACATTTTGCATGGTCAGATCTTGGCTCAGGACATCCGCTTACACAGTAGTAACAATCGCCCAATGTAGAAATTTTCTCACATCCATGATGCTCGCATAGATCATCAAATCTTTCGAAAAGATCATTTAAAATGCCTACCAATTCTTCTGCAGTCTTATTCGAGCTCATTCGTGTAAAACCAACAATATCGGCAAATAGAATACTAACATTTTCCATTGAATGCATGTTGAACGGTCGAAATAACGAACGGATATCCGTGTTATTGGACGGTATCGATCCTTTCTTTAAAGAATCTTCGCGCTCTCTTTCACGCTCGCTTTCTGCCATTAACCAATCGGCAACTTTCGGCGGCATTACGGAGTGAATCATTTTCTCTTTAAGTTGTTTCTCCATTTCTAATTGACGTCGGACTAATAAAGATTGGCCGACTTTCATAAACGTACCGCGCATCCTTACAAAAGTCATTATTAAAATATGTATTCCTATCAGATGAATGCAAACTTGCATTAAAATTCTTATCCCAAGATTTGTAGAAAAATAATTATCGTCCGAAAATGATTGATTAGATATGTTGCTACTTAAAATATAGTTTGACAATTCACCGTTCCTACGGATTAATACATCTCCTCCCAATATCGAAGTTGTATTGTTTATATCTTTGGAAATTAAATCATTAGAAGCATTTACAGTGGAATTAATATTAACTATTGTCGACGCTATACTTGTATTGTTCAGAATTCCAAATGCTTTTCCAAGTATGGTCTCTTGGTTAGACGAATTCAATCCAAGAACAGATAACAATTTTGAATCTTGGGAATATGGTGTCTTCATGGTTGCAATTATATATTCGTTGTTATCGTGCATCACATTTGACAATTGACTATTATTAAAACTTTTCAAAGAAGAATATGCAGCTGTTGATATTTTACTGTAATCTAATATGGCATCGTTTCCTGTAGAAATATTTGGTAACGTATGTTCGCTGAAAAACTTTTCTCTTGCAGTTTTTGAACCATACAAATAGGCAGTTAAAAATTCAAATAGAAAGGAATAAATCGTTGATATTCCCAAACACGCATATAATGGCATTGGCAGCACAGTGTAAATTAATAACAAAATTTCCGAACATAGTGCAAAATGTCCGACTAAAGTTAGGCCATCTATATAGGGTGGAATTATTGTAAGAAAAAGTAATGACAAAATGCAAAGCATAGCTGCAACTCCTAATGAAGTTTGCAACACATACTCTTTGTAATAATCTGTATGCGTTAAGTATAAAACTCCTGATACCATTATACCAACAGTAATAAAAATTGCTGCTATTGCTGGCCATGTTGTAGTATTATATTCAGTTCCAATTATAATAAAATATGCCAACCATGACAAAGAAACTAGCAAGATGTATGTTAGGGCATATCTAAAATAACACAGATCAATATAATTAATAATTATGAAAATAAATTAAATGGTATTGTGCTACATACCGAAATCTTAATCTTATTTGTGGAAAGGCACTTCTTTTAAATTGTTCTTCAAGTATTTCTGAATCAAATTTAGGATTCCACCAAGACCTTGAGGCTGCACGCTCAAATGGTACTGGAAGGCTAATACCGCAACATCCAAGTCCCTGACCACTGTGTGCCAAATATGTTTGTATATATGGTGCCAGAGATATATGGATCTCATCTGTAGCATTTTCACTATCATCCTTAGCTCTTGTAAAACTAACAGATGAGCTTCGCTTTCGATTTAAAGAAGAAGTCATATTTGTCATTTAAATAGCACTAAAAACACATAATATAAATTTATATCATTTGTAAATGCAGCTGAATTAAAATACAATGATTTCAAATTTTAACATATAAAGAATATATTCTTAAAAGTGAATCATATAATTAACTGTAGAGTATCTTGTATAAAATAACGATTTAAACTAATAATTAAATTATCAGTTATATATTTGCTTTTCAATAATATTATAGTATCAGTTAAAACTTATACTCGAACGTGTACATCTTATCTAATTATTAAAAAAGGTGGTTATAGAACATTTATTTCAAATGACAGTGTATTTTTTAACATCATATAAATGTACAATATTTTAATAACAAAAACGTATGCCTTTAAACAGGGCTATTTTACAAAAAATAAACTTACAATCGGTCAATTTGCTTTGATCACTGGCGAAATCGCCACAAAACTAAGGAAATCATCTTCCCCGTTGACATCGGAGATTCCTCACGAGATCAGCTCGTCTCGAAAAATGACATTTTCGTTTTCGTTTTTTTGTATGATATTCTCAGCTCGAGTGAGAAAAATTAATGTTCCATATACTGTTAAAACCTAAAGTAAATTCTCTACAATAGATTAAAAATTCTATACCATTAAAAATTGTAATTTAAACGTTTCAAGTTTCCTTTTCTATAATACACCATGGCCATCTTGAATCTATCGATGACAGCGCCCAGAAGCAAAAGGCGCTCATGCATTAAAAGATTTATTTGTGCTTTGTGGATAATAAACTGAACTAAATGTTAGGTGAACCAATAGACAATACAGTAATACATTTCATGTAAAGTTCAAGACATTGCGGTTTAAAACCCATTGGATGTAGTTATGTTATTACAAAATATTTCACGATCGTGGTAATACACCTTAACTTGGTGAATCTACGCTTTAAGATAACAAATAGCTATGTTTTATAAGTTTCGATTGCTTAAATATACTTAACAATAGTAAAAGAAAGGCATAATAAGTAAAAGGACTAAAAGATGTCACAACAAACAGCTCTTGTACAGACTACCAATGCAGGTTCTGACATAACACCTGTACTTGGTAGTTTACAATCTATAGGGCCTAATACTCAGGCATCATCTAATGTTCCTAATATACAGAGTGGCAATACAGTAGTACAGATATTACAGCCTCAGACACAGTCTCAACAGGCACAATTTGTAACACAATCTCCAAAACAACAGGTAGTGCAGCAATCATCTACGCAACAGCAACAACAATCCCAACACCAAAGTTCTTTTAATGATTTTCCTCAGGTATGTATGTTATTATTAATAAAATCTTCATTTATTTAGCCTTTGAAATTATTTTAATTCTAGTTTTTGACTAAAACTCGATTACAAGATCTTGTGAAAGAGGTGGATCCCACTGAACAGCTAGATGAAGAAGTAGAAGAAATGCTTTTACAGTTGGCAGATGATTTTGTGGAAACAACTGTAAATGCAGCATGTTTATTGGCTAAGCATCGTCATGCTAACACTGTAGAAGTAAAAGATGTACAATTACATTTAGGTATATTTTGTTTTATATATTATACATGTGATTAATTAATTGGTACGCTAAATTTTATATAAAATATTATGTATTTTCTTTTTCTTTCAGAAAGAAATTGGAATATGTGGATCCCTGGTTTCGGTACAGATGAAGTACGTCCATATAAGCGAGCAACAGTTACAGAGGCACATAAACAAAGATTGGCTCTTATAAGAAAATCAATAAAAAAATATTAGTCTTCCAATATTTTTCATCTTACGTTGTTATTTTGACATTAAGTGTCACTTTTTTAATATTTTCGTGATTATATACTTAAGATATGCATCACTGATATTTGTAAAAGCATGAAAATTATAAATATATACATAGTTTTTGTAACATATAATTTCAAGTATGAGATAATTTAGAGATTAAATTAAAATATTACTAATAATAAAAACAATAGCAATACAGTGCACTTTTAATGATAAATTTACTTATTATCTATTATTTTAATGCTTCAAGGATATCTTATCATTTCTTATCCAACAGTAGTGCCTTTGTTCTCAAAGGGTCGTGAATTTGTGCCTTGAGAACAAACGCAATCTGCTTTATCGAGTAAAGGTAGCTGGCTTCGGCACAGTTATCAATAGAGAGAAGTGAAACAGCATCAGTCTTATAGCGACCGTCGAGGGGTGCAGATCTATCTGCTAAACACCCCAGCATTCCTTACATATCTTTATCCCTTACATCCCGACATTCCTTATACATATCTCTTCATTCCTTATATCCCTGCATTCTTTTCATCCCTACATTCTTTTCATCCCTACATTCTGTTCAACCCTACATTCTCTTCATCCCAACATTCTTTTCATTCCTACATTCTTTTCATCCCTACATTCTCTTCATCCCTACATTCTCTTCATCCCTACATTCTTTCCATCCCTACATTCCTTTCATCCCTACATTCTCTTCAGCCCTACATTCTTTTCATTCCTACCTTCTCTTCATCCCTACATTCTTTTCATCCCTACATTCTTTTCATCCCTACATTCTTTTTATCCTTACATTCTCTTCAGCCCTACATTCTTTTCATCCCTACCTTCTCTTTATCCCTACATTCTTTTCATCCCTACATTCTTTTCATCCCCACATTCTTTTCATCCCTGCATTCTTAACATCCCGACATTCCTTACATCGCTTCATCCCTTATATCCCTACATTCCTTACATTCTATAAGGCCTGCCATTTTATACAAATTTAGTTCCTTTTTTCGCCGCCAGATGGCGCTGATTCGACATCGAAATTTTAGTTCACATTTTTACCGCTAGAGGGCAAAAATTGCTTCTTGATTTAGTTCCTTTTTCTAAAACCAGATGGCGCTGATTCGAGGTTGAGATTTTAGTTCACATTTTTGCCGCTAGAGGGCCAAAATTGCTTCTTGATTTAGTTCCTTTTTCAAAAACCAGATGGCGCTGATTCGAGGTCGAGATTTTAGTTCACATTTTTGCCGCTAGAGGGCCAAAATCTCGTCTTGGTTTAGTTCCTTTTTCAAAAACCAGATGGCGCTGATTCGAGGTCGAGATTTTAGTTCACATTTTTGCCGTTAGAGGGCCAAAATCTCGTCTTGGTTTAGTTCCTTTTTCAAAAACCAGATGGCGCTGATTCGAGGTCGAGATTTTAGTTCACATTTTTGCCGCTAGAGGGCCAAAATCTCTACTTGATTTAGTTCCTTTTTCAAAAACCAGATGGCGCTGACTCGAGGTCGAGGTTTTAGTTCACATTTTTGCCGCTAGGGGGCGCTTTTTTGTCGAAAATGTCGAAAAAATAGCGCCCCTAGAAAAGAGGAACTAACTTACCTTTACTTACCTTTACTCGAAGCAGTCTTTATAATATATTTATTATAAGGGATGCAGAGATGTAAGGAATGTAGGGATGAAAAGATTGTAGGGATGAAAGGAATGTTGGGATGTAAGGGATGAAGCAATGTAAGGAATGTAGGGATGAAAACAATGTAGGGATGAAAAGAGTGTAGGGATGAAAGGGATGTAGGGATGAAAAGAATGTAGGGATGAAGAGAGTGTAGGGATGAAAAGAATGTGGGGATGAAAAGAATGTAGGGATGTAAAGAATGCAGGGATGAAATGAATGCAGGGATGAAATGAATGTAGGGATGATAATAATGAAGGGATTTAAGGGATGAAAAGATGCAAAGATGTAACAGAACGACGGAAGTAAAGAAATCCTGTAGAGGTTCGGGGCTGGGGCCCCGGTCACCACTGCACGCGTCCTGAGGGGTGCCGGCATCGGGTGTGGCCCCCGATATCGGCGGAGTTTGGCACATGGCGGTGGGTCAAAGGACCCTCCCTACCGCCCTAGCGCAGGCCACCGTGGTGGTTTTAGTGGGTAAAAATCCCACACTACCTCCGGCCCCTCCCCAGGGGGGCTGAAGGTGTCTTTCTGAAGATTTCCACCACGTTAAAAAAAAAAAAAAAAAAAAAAAAAAGGGTATTTAAGGGTTGCAGGAATGCTGGGATGGAAGGAATGCAGGGATGTAAGGGATAGTGAGATGGTCTTGGCCTATAATGAGGGATAAAATTATATATATAACTAGAAAAAGTAAAATAAGTGGGGTCCTCGATTGATCATAATATAATCATAAATGTTATTCCTCTTCGATGAGCTTATTTAATAAGCAAAAAAAAGTAAATGAAGTAAATTAAATAAATTCTAGAAAAAAATTATACTGGTTGTGCCCTCTTTATACGGGCCTGATATTATCCAGGGGTGCCAGGGACCCCGAAGCACCAATGACTATATTTATATACCGACATGATATCATCTGGGGTATTAGGAACCCCGAAATGCCGGTGAGTATCTCTGCATACCAATATAATATCATCCGGGGCGCCAGAGACCCCAAAGCACCCGTGACTATCTCTATATACCGACATGTTATCATCTGGGGTACCAGGAACCCCGAAATGCTGGTGAGTATCTCTGCATACCAATATAATACCATCCGGGGCGCCAGAGACCCCAAAGCACCCGTGACTATCTCTATATACCGACATGATATCATCTGGGATATCAGGAACCCCGAAATGCCGGTGAGTATCTCTGCATACCAATATAATACCATCCGGGGCGCCAGAGACCCCAAAGCACCCGTGACTAACTCTGCGTACCGACCTAATATCCTATTGGGTTATTAAGGACCCCGAACCGCCGTGAATATCTCTACATACCACTATTATAACATCCGGGGTGCCAGGGACCCCGAAGCAACAGGGACTCTCTCTGCATACCGATATGTCATCTTGGGGTCTCAGGAACCCCAAAGCACCACTCACACTGTTTGCATATTGACATTATGGCATCCGGGGTATCAGGGACCCCGAATCACCGATGACACTCTTTGCTTACTGACACTACGGCATTTGGGGTGTCTGAGACCCCGTGGTACCGGCGACACCAATGTTACGCTGCCCGGGGTGTCAGGGACCCCGTAGCAACTAGCGAAATATAAGAACGAAAAACGAACAAATCGTGAAACTCACTTGTTCGGAATAGTGATGGGTTTGACCGGATCTAGCGAAATATAAGAACGAAAAACGAACAAATCCTGAAACTCACTTGATCGAAGTAGTGATGTGTACGACCGGATCTGTAGCGCATGCGCACTACAATTATTTATTATAAAGCAAACTTGTAAATAATTAAGAAATTATTCACTCACAAACAATGAAAATTATACATTTGTGAATCACAAACGATTTCCAATCAATTACAGTTATCAGTTATCAGAAATCTGTTTATTATGAAAAATTACTGCAATTACAAATTAAAAAGTTTCGGCTGACATTATGATTGAAGTAAAATTGTTAATTACAAAAGAACTAATTCGTCACAAACGTTAAAAATGGACTCACAATCAATCACAAACGATTTACAAACGAAATACACTAAGAAAAATTAAAAATAATCATATTTTATTACTCCTTCCGGGTAGCTTCATGTAGGTTGCATACCGACATATCATTATGGGGTGCTAGGGACCCCGAAGCACCGGTGGTGCTCTCTGCATACCGACGTTATGGTATTCGGGGTGTCTAGGACCCCGTTGCGCCAATAACGCCCTGTGGATACCGACCTGATATCATCGTGGGGTGTCAGTGACCCCACAGGTCACGAATCCTCGAAAACATAATCGGTAAGTTGTCGAGTAGTTTCCTGCGTTCTCGTATAGATGGCGCTGCGATCGGAGGCCAGAGTACATCCTTCCTCTTCGACGTCCGAAGACAAACTGACGCGCTTCAATACCAAATGACTAATTTATAGGATCGAGCTTCTGATCATTTATTCGGCTATCAGTACTTACGAACACTTAGCTTTGTAATTAGTGTGCATAAAATTCAGTAAATGTTAATTTGTGCGTAAAAAGAAATAAAATACGATTTTTATTAGCTCATAAGGAATGATAAAATAATAAATGAAAGGGATGTGAGCTTATTTAATTAGCTAAGAAAATCAATGAAATAAATTAAATAAACTTAGAAAATAAAATAAAAAAAGAAATTTAGAATAATAAATGAAATAACTCAGTTGCTTTTTGTAAAATGATTTATTTAACAAGGTTCATGAAATAAATACACGTTTATCAAACATCTATTTTAATCATTTTTCCCTCTTGTCCTAATTTTGACTGGTTTCTCAAAAATATAATCAAAGAGTGTACAAATTGTGTCTTTTTAATTGGGAGTGCGAGGTGTGGTAAAAGAGGGATTGGTAAAACCAGACTGACTGTCATACCTACTGTGCTCTATAGTTACATGGCTACATTTGGGGGTGTCTGGAACCCCAAAATCATATACTCCTAAGAACAAATACATGTCGAGTTTTTTGTTTCCATGCTAATTAGTATCGGTATGGTTTCGTTTGGACTAATTAAGCTGTTTGGAGGTCTCGAGATATCTTATCGACTTACAGTTTTGCATCTCCCTGCAAGGTGATGCCATCTAGTTGGAGCAATTGATTGGTGATATTGTCAGCGGGCAGGCGCTAGACTTTCGGAGGCTGCGTGCGGGATGAAGAGCGAAAGACAGAGAAGAACCGAGATTCAAACTCGAAATCTAACGAGGAACTCTCAGAGCCACGCGAGTGGCCGCGCGATACGGCACGATACGAGTGTTTGAAAACGGCTGATAACAGTGTGTTACGCGCCATGTGTGTCGAGAAAAGTGCGAATTTAATGCGGCTCTTTTGTGTCATATCGCTTCTCTATGGATTTCTTCTCCCGTTCGGTGAGTAAATCATTCTTATTTATTGAATTCGCGGGGGTTATCGCTAAACAATTGCTTCTCGTATCAGGAAACAAAGAGCGATCGTTCGATGACAAGTGTTTCGTTTTGTCTAGCTGTTACGTTCCATGAAACATAATTGACAAATTCATTGAACTAATTCGAAGTTAAATTTTTTAATTAATATAATTCTTGTTCCGTGTGATTTCGACGCTATTTAATTATTAGAAAATGTCGCTTAAGAATTATTTTTTTTAACGCATTAAATTTTTATCTCTAAATCACTTTTGTTTCGTTCGGTGCAAAATCATTTCGATTGAAAGGAATGGCAAGGAATAATAAAAATCGAGGAACTACGATGTATCTGTTAATTAAAATAACGACAAAGTCGCATTCAATTATAATACAATACCGTGTTCGTTCTTTCACGCTGAAACGATTGGTTTATAGCATCAAACACCGTTACCGTTTCAAGGATCGAGCGATTCCTTCTTCGAAGATGAAGTGCAATCCGAATTTCCGTGATTCGTCGAAAATAAACCGAATACGCAGTGGGAATCGAAGCGTTTCAAGGTTTCGTGGATACGGATCGATGTTGTATTTGAAACATTGGTAGTTCATCACAGTAAATAATTCAATTCTAATCCTATAATTAATAATTAATAATATACCATGAATTACAAAGAATAATATCTAATAACATCGATATAATTTATAGAATTCAGTTCGATCGCTTCTAAAATCAATTAAAGCTTATAAAATTAAACGTTCACACCTGTTTGTCAAGCGTTAAGTTCAGCGAATAATTACACGATGGCGAGGAACCCTTAGGGAGAGTTTGTTTCAAGCGCGAAACAACGATCGCTTGATCGCAACCGTAACCTTCCATTGAAATGTCGCAAATTGTACGACAATCATCTTGTCAAGCCGTTCAATTCTGTTCACCGCGTTCGCGACGCTCTAATACGAATTCCACGGAGGTTTGGATGACCTTCTCGGCCTAGCTGGCTCACTGTCGGATGCAACAATGATTCCCTTTGGTATATTACCAACGTAACACGTCGCTGTTCTCAGACGAATGAAATTCCCTGTAAACTGTACTCCGGAGAATATTTGATCGTGCCCAGGACGTTAGGAGATAGAGGGAACAGCTATTTTATGCACTTTTGGCATGCATCGCTGCACGGGGTGGGCCTTCCTCCAGGAAATATCGTCGCTGGTATACGCATCTCTTGGTTTCGTAGAGATTTTCCATCGAGCTGATCCGATTTCGTCTTCTAAACGCCCTAGAATCGTTTCAACTTCTCGTTCTCGTTTCGATAAATCGGATAATTAGGACGACACTTAACGAGTTCCGCTTCAGTCGCTGTAATTACCGTCCCCGCAATTATATCTTCATTATCGTCGCAGCAAAACTGTCGAGAAAAGAAAAAGAATATAAATTAATTTAATTCCAGGTCAATGGAAAAATAACAAATACGCGAATCAACGTTAAGGACACGGAAAATTCAATTTCAATTCGAAAGTTCACGATATTTAATGCAGCAACGTTGTTAAGTTTACGAGCAGATAAAAGCTTTGAAAGATTTCGAATTCCCGGACGACCGCAATAATTACAACTATCCGCGAACAAGAGTTACAGCAAAGCCTCACTCGGTGTAACTTGCTAAACTTTCCAAACTTCCAGACACTGAAAGTTTAAAATTTAACTAACTTTCGTGGAGTTTCATAAAATTTCCAAGAAGTCTACGAAATCATTGCAAAATCCCACGGTTTGTAACACGTACGTAGAAACATACTCGAGACCAAGATCTCCGAGCTCTCGCGTGCATCTAACATATCACGAGGGTGTAATTTACTCAGTTAGCAAGTTCTAAGAGACGACTATGTAGCGTCTCATTATGGTCGTCAATCGATGTCAGCTTCATACCTCTCGAAAATCTGTGTTCGTTATCCATCGTCTCGTTAATACGTACTTCGCGAGTCACAGAAGCTGCTCTCTCTCATAAGTGGAACAGACGAGTCAGGATCAGACGAAACGGTTAAGTAACCCATCTGGAATTGTCGGATGGAAGTTGGTTGGCTAATGGATCTTAGAGTTTCAGCTAACAGAAATTGAAATGATAAGATTCGATAGGGGTTAAGAGATTCGCTCGATGAATTACCAAATTTGAATAATTAAAAGAGATAAGTAAGGTATTCTGATATTTGTTATATCTTCATTATCGTCAAAGCAACACTGTCAGCAAAAGAAAAAGAATATAAATTAATTTAATTCCATTAAAGGAATCAAGGTTAAGGACATGGAAAATTTAATTTCAATTCGAACTGCATACTTTTCGAAAGTCCACGATATTTAACGCAGCATTTGTTAGAGAATACTTGACAGTGCTGTCGCCAGCAACGGTACACTATCACCAGAAAAATGTACTTTGATATTTTTCACCGAAAAAAAACCATTAATCATAACGTTTGTTGGCTCGAAAGTAACAACTTCTTTTCGACGCGTCACGGGAAATAAGAAGGAATGGCCAAGATAAATGGTACACCCGGTAGACATCTGTGCGCGATTCAACGCGCGTCAAATATATCGAAAATGGCAAGAAAACGTCGTCCATTCGGTTCTCGTCTCTTCACTGTATCAATCCACTTGGCGTTATTGACCATTTATATTAATGGTATTGCCAGAGAAACAACGAGTAAAATGGGGGAGTGAAAGAAAGTCGTCTGGGACAATTGAAAATGTTCGTCTTGTTTCCTGATTCGTTAGTACATATGAACAAACATAAAAATGATTCTTGATAAATGAAAAATATAAAATCTGTTATTTTTTCTCTCATTTTATATCTACTATTTTATTTGAAAATCCTTTCCTTTCTTCATTTTTATCTGTATCCGAGGGAATCGATGTGGCTCACAATTGAATAAGCAACTTGAATCTCGTCAGGATTTGTCTGAAAAGATACATAGGTGGGATACGTGACGGAATCGTTCAGGCAAAGCGCGTTTCCGGTGGATTCGTGCGTTACGAAAGTAAATGAGTCGTATTATACTTCATACGATTCGTTGAATTATATTTTCCGCGAGAAATCTTCCGTTGTTATTCGTTCCGGCTAATGGGATAACGCGTTCCGAGCAACGAATATTTAAACGTTTTATTCAGCGAGAATAAAAAGCGACGAAAAATAATGAAAATCAAATTTCAGGTAGAAATAATGATATTATTCATTGCTATCGTCATTATTTCGTCGAGTTACAGTGTCAAAGGGAGTTTTGAAATTCAAAGGAAAGTTTTTCAGATAAAATTCATCGGCATTTTCGAAACTCTTAAAACATTTTTTAGAAAAAAAGAACGGTGGGATGTCTTGATAAAAATTCTCGAGGGTACTTTAGAGAGTGAACGCATTACGCTCTGATGTGTTGTAATATATTTATGAGAATGAAAGATTACAGTCGATAACACACGGTGAATAACTGTGTTGTAGCTGCGTTATTACACGCTAAACGAATGTGTAACTTGTGAAAGGTGTTCCTAGAAACTTCCGACACCACTGACGCGAGTTTACGTTTTACATCAGCAATTTAGTTGTTTAATGAAGTTTCTTAACTTTAGAATGTAAGTTCATATGGTGTAATTACAATTTAGTCGTGGATATATTTTAAGATTGAATTAAATGGTAAAAAATCAATTTTTCGTGGGATCGATTAATTAGTTTACCTAAGAATAAATTACTCAACGCCTGTTCCTGAATTTGCAGAAGTCCACGGGTTAGTTCTAATAAATCAAAGGTTCCACGCGTATTCCACGTCGTATCCCAAGGTAAATAACATTTTGCCGGAGGAGAATAGGGGATCTGAATTGATGATGAAGTTAGCTTTTCTCGACGAAGTTGGCCCTCATTGTGGTCTATCCGCTGTCTTTCATCGTAACAGATATTAGTAACCGGAAACTGGTCGTATCGGTAATAGAACTTCAACGAAACTGATTCATTTTTCAGCTGTACAATTGTTCGGTACGCTCCTTTGAGGAATTGTACTTTCTGTACGGTAGCAAAGTCACGTTTTAAATTGCTACAATTTTCGTTCAACGTGAATGAAAATGGAATTCGTTTTGAATTTGAAAAGGATTTGTTTCTAAATAAAATAAATGGAGTTATTTGTAAAGAATATGAATCCTCTCAGTGTTCATTAAAATAGAGGAGCTAAGAATTTTTCTTAAATCCTCCAGCTTTGTTAAAGTATCTAACGTTCATCATTTGAATAATTATAATTACACATTGCCATTTTAACCAGCGTTAGATTAGGTTTTGCCTAACTACAAGGGACTTGACGCGAATTCTGTTAATTTTCACGGTACACTGCAAACTGCGAGTATACAAAGCAACACTGAACTCTCCTGTTTGTCTCTACATCTTTCTGTACCAGTATACGTAATTAGTTTTGCTGTTGAACGTATCAGCTGATTTATGAATTAATATTAATTAAAGTTTCATTAGGGAAAATGAAAGATTTCAAAGTGATCTGAAATTTTATAAATAGAATTTCATATTTCATATACTTACATTTTCTATTATAATAATGAAATAAAAGTAACAATTAATCACTTATATGGGAAATACAATTCGGTGTTGAAAGGGTTAATTAAGCTCACGTGTACCTGGGATGGGTTAATATGATTTAAATTTTCAACTAGGACGATGTATATTAGCCAGGTTTGATATAATAGGCTTCAGCAGTGATAAAACAGTGGTTACAGAGTAATTAATTCTATTACCCTGGTTATTAATGTATATTATCGTTAATAATAAAGAACGTTAAAAATTTATTGAAAAATACGGAAGTAAAATCGTCGTGAAAATCCATTCAAAGACGATTGGAAACTATTAAAGTAGAACTGCATTTGAATGAATCTTTTGAACATTTAATATCTCGCTGAGAAAGCGACGAGAAGCAAGATATTTTTCAACCCTCTCCCGTGCCCATCCTTTTCTCTCGTTTCCTCT